AACATCAATTTTTCCTCTATTAATAAGATTGGTGGAGGATACGACGGAAAACCATGTAAGTGTAAACTCCATTGACGGCAAGTTATCTCAACAAATTAAGATCTTTGTTTCGACACCTTGACTCCCCCGTCATTCGAATCAATTAACCTGTATAATTCGACTGGTCAAAAGTCGAAGGAGCGCGTCGGATACATTCATGACGCTCACAAGGATCGCGCCCCGTTTGCATGCCAGATGAGATTGCTTCTCTATAACGAAGCGGATTCCCTTGCCACGTTTCGCTACCTTTGCAAGAATGCTGGGTTGGGTTCCCAATTCAGGGAACTGAAATCTGTCAACCTTTCCATAGAGGCTACCAGTCAACTGAAGTTCTTCGACGAAAAATCCTTGTTCAGAATTCGCAAGACTATCAAACAATTCGAGTGGCCTGTCGCGTTCCAGCTGGAGGCGCTGCTCTACAATGGTTATCTCAATACGCGGCAGTTGGAGGAAGTCATACCCCGCGTCAGTCACTGGCTTAAACAGAAGCCATCCGAGTACGTTGGTGATCTTCTTCGTCACTTCGGTGTGGCTCTTGAAGAGAGACCGGCTCCCGGTAGAGAGTCTCCTCTTGATTGCTTTGAACGCGTCGCCAAAGAATTTATTTACGATGCGTCGAAGTTAGCTTCGGGCCACTTCCCCTGCGGCCACGTCACTTTCACCCCGACTCGACAACTCCTCGAAGGTCCATATGCCACGCAGTCCAATCGCATCATCCGACAATATGTTGGATACGAACACAACTTTTTACGCGTTGATTTCCGAGACGAAGACCGCTTACAGTACCGCTGGGACCGTACCGTTGACGGTGCGACCTTCGTTCGACAGCGCGTGGGCACCGTTCTGAAGGAAGGTTTCACGTTGGGTGGGAAACATTTTGAATTCCTTGCCTATTCCACCTCAGCTCTTCGAGAGCATGCAGTCTGGTTCATCTGTCCGTTCTACCACCCCAAGCTCGGTCTAGTGAATGGTGATCGGATCAGGCACGATATTGGTGACTTCAGAGGCAAAAAGATTATGACGCAGCCCTCCAAGTTGGCAGCTCGCATTGGACAAGCGTTCACGGCCACGGATCCGTCGGTTCGGATCGCGCGGGATCAGTGGGAGGAGATACCAGACATTGGGACGGAACCTCATATTCATACTGACGGTGCTGGTACGATTTCGCAAAGTCTGGCAGACGAAATATGGGAGGAACTTTGTAAAGACCGGCGTGATCACGGTAATACTACCATCAAGCCTTCAGCGGTACGTCTATATGTAGGATGCAGGGATCACAGCTCGCTGACTGTCCCAATATTCCAGTTCCAGATACGATTTCTTGGTTACAAAGGTGTCGTCGCTGTCGATAAAGAACTCGATAAGCATCCGGATGGCATTCGCATGCGCTTGCGTGAGAGTATGAATAAATTTAGCGTCGATACTCAGGACGCGGCGGATATCGAGATCGCTAGAGCCTTTGACAAGCCTAACGCGTCGTATCTTAACCGGTGGGCGGCTCCTTCCTTTCGTATTCGTTCTCATTTAACATCTACGCTTAGTGCCCTAGTTATGGTTTTGGAAGACAAAGACGTTTCGCTGCCGGTGTTTCAGCGTCTTCAGGAAACTGCGTTAGCTGACACACACACTATTGACGATTCTCTTGAGCTTTTCAGAGGGGTTCTCATGACCCATGCCCTAGGGAATGGGTATCGCCTCAGCTCATTACTGACGAGCATTGAGTCTCTTGGCTTCGACATCAAGGCTCGTGGGCGTACGCCAAGCGTTGACACGCCTTTCCTGCAGCAGCTTCGCCAAGTAGCCAAAATCGACGTTCTCCGCGAAATCAAGCATCAAGCGAGGATCCCGATCCCTGGTAGTTTCAAGCTCGTCGGAGTCCCCGATGAGGGCCCAACGTATCGCGAACTGGAAGGTTACGAAGATATCTTCTGTCTGCCGGCTAATCACATTGCGGCATGTGTTCATGAATATGGAAAGGAACCCGTGTGGCTGGAGGGCCAGTGTACCATCTCTCGGAGCCCTATAACTCATCCCGGAGATGGCAAGTTTAAGATTCGCTCGTGTTATTCTCCAGGTATTGATATTATTTTCTCTCTAGTCCAAACCGTATTTGCAATGAAACCTCCCGAGGGACAGCTCTGTGCTTTCTCGCATCTGGTGAATGTTGTTGTGCTCCCAACACAAGGTACGTGTTTGTATGCCTTATTTACTTTGTCTGATCATAACAGGTCCACGATCTCTTGCTTCATGTCTTGGTGGCGGAGACCTTGACGGGTATGCATATCGTCTTCCAAGATATCACAGCAAGCTTAAACCTCAATTAGCGATACGTACGACGTTATTGTGGACACTGAACTTCTGCCGCCCACTAAACATGATGCGGCAGCCTACCCCCCAGGAGTAACTTTCACGTTGCTGGATGATGATGGCGAACCCAGAGAATGTGAAGTCGAAGATATATGCGACTTCATCGTCGAGTATATCAACTCAGACGTCCTTGTATTAAACTCCATCTCGGAACTCAAGAAGTTTACTCACCAGACTTTACAGGGTCTCTTGTCCGATCGCTTGCTCATAATTGCTGGTACGTTCTGTCTTCGTTGTCGAACGCTACATAAAATTGAGTATCCTTATACTAGATCAATCCAAGGTAAAGTACCTTATGGGCTGCTGAGTCAATAACGAATAACCGTTTGTATAGCAAGGCATTCATGATCCGGATTGCAAAAAACTAGCAGCGTTGTGTTCTCAAGTAAGCCACCGGTTAGCTCTCACGTTCTCTTCTGACTCTTCTCTCAGGCAGTGGATTACCCGAAGAACGGCATTCCGGTCGACATTGATAACAACAAGCTGCCCAAGACGCTCATCCGCTGCAAACCCGACTGGCATGCTGCCGAAGTCGTGGATCCGCGTCACACAGACTACTACCGCTCTGACAAAGTCCTTGGCCAGCTGTATCGCCAAATCGAGTGGAAGCAACCGGACATTGACGTCTCTGAAAGAACGCCCGAGAGCCACGTACTGTCCGACTGCCTGTCGATAACGCTCCGGTGCTACGTCGAGCGTGCATTCGACGTGTACACCGACCCGGATGGCAAGTCCCCACAGATCGACAGAGTCTTCCGCCGATACGCTGAAGAGCTTAACTACGTCTGCGTGACGCACACGTTGTCGAACACGCCCGGGACCAAGTTGTTGGAGGCGGAAGTGGTGGTTGGCACGATCCTGGCAAAGTGCACTCAGCGTCGGTGGAGGAAGGACCGGATGTGGAAGATGCGCACGCACGCGTCACAGCTTGTGCGCGATGTGAAGCGGCATCTGTTCCCTTTGCCACCGGGCGAGAAGGGCAAGAAGGGGGAGAAAGATCCAATTCCGATTCCGCCGAGTGATATCAAGGCCGGGTTGAAGCGCGCATGGGATGCATGGGACTACAGTCTTCGAAACTCGAAGACGTTTGGGGCTCAGAGCTTTGGTTTGATTGCACTTGATGTGGTATTTGATTGTCTACAGCGGTTGGGGATAGATGTGGCTTTCAAGAAGGTTTGAAGAATGTATACTTAGTCCAATGTTGTTTGTATCGATTATGTTTTCCTGGATGTTCAATCTACTCGTAAACTTCTCATAAAACATTTAATCCTCCTCGACCTCACTCGATTGTTTCTTCAATCCCCATGTGCCCCAAGAAGACTGGTGCTTTGACTTGGGTAGGGACAGACCCCATGTTATAGCATAATGTTGTAGACGAGGTTCAACTCCTCGACCTCGTCGAGGAACTCCAACGTTGATATTCTGGGTCGTGTTTTCAAACAGAGAACAGCGAAGGTCAGGAAAAACGCGCACCTATTGACTTCCGTGTGAGAGATGTATTGTAAACGAATGTCTCGCAGGGATAGAGCATCTGCCGCGGTAAATCCTACATCGAGGAAGCGCGTCGGGAGGGATTCTTGGGTTGGATATGGCACAGCTCCGGGCAAGTCAACTTGTCGCGCCTGGATGGACATCAGCGGTTGCAGACCATATGCTGGACGCCTCTGACCTTGAGATTGTTTACCATGACGAGTCCAAATGAATCCTCAAGACCGAACATTTCGTATACGACGCTGCCAAGAATGCCATCAGAGAACTGTTGTCTAAACCACGTCAAGAGGGCGTTTGAAGAGTCTGGAGACATGTAGGCGAGCACACATTCGAAAAGGAGGAGAGTCGGTCGCGAGGAGGATAACAGCGGCTCGAGTCCTTCAAAGAGAATGGATGCCAGTGTCTCTTGTGGCGGTCGTCGTAAATCAGCAGGAATAAGATTATAACGTGGCGACTTTAGTCCAGTTCCTCCACCAGCTGCAGATACAGAACGTCAATCCAGGTGATCGCGTCCAAAAGTAGTGTGACTGACACACTTGGATCTTGGCTGGATCTCCAAGAACAGACCCCAGTGGTTTACTTTTCCGAATGGTCATTGCCTTTTTGCTCGTAATCTCGGGGAAATCGATTTCAATGTACTTGGCAAGATGGCTGTTATGTTCCCAGTCTGCATTCACAGTAAGACAACGACATGGACACTGATCAAAATGCATACGGCAATGCGCCAGAACCGTGAATCGCTTCCAGCGCCTAGGCTGACAATCTGACACTGTGTCCCATCTTCGCGCGACAGTGCCAGCCATTGCGCCACTAGGTCATCAATGGCTACAGTGCGAACATAGGTTCCAATGTTAATCAGAGGTGGCCTGGGCGGTTGTAGATGTGCTCGAGGGACAAAAGCAGAGACGAATGGGTCAGTCAGATAACCCTTTTGAACAGCAGACAGCCTGGCGAGTGCAGCGTCGTTGTCGGTGAGCCGGACGGGCGTATCTGGATCGGAAGATGGTGGTGGAAACATAAGAAAACGTTTTACTTTTTAAATTGTCGTCTTCAGACTTCGGTCTTCTCGGATGCTGAAGGAAAAAGAAAGGCATTCCTCAAAAAGACCCCAGGGAGATTCGAACCCCCGGCCCTGCGATATTACGTAAGCTGCAATCGCATGCTCTAACCACTGAGCTATGGAGTCATGTACTGGAAGCCTGAAGAGCGTACAGATCTCTTTCAGGGACGACGTCGCTATCTTTGAGCAGACTCGATCAAAGCTGACACTTTGATCTTATCTTTGATGGCCGCTTCTGCTTCCAGCCTTCCACCATCTTTCAGCGAGCAGGCGGGCGATACATCAACATTTCCTCGTTACATTTCATCTCCACATTGACTTTATCTCAGCTTCCATGAGTACCGTTGGCCTCCGTCATTCAGGAATGTAACACGGATCGCGACCGCGACCTCACAACCAACCTCTCCAAGACTCTCGCGACAAGTGCACTTCGAAAAGAAATTTCAACGGTCATTAGCAACATACTCAGTCCAGTTATTCATCATCTTCTGTATGTATAGACGAGCTGTCGTGTACGTTGCCCTAATCCGAAGGTTCATCCGACGAGGTAGCCAGTCGCCGACCCCCCGAAAATGGGAGGCCGCGTATGCGTATGATTGAGCATCCGGGAGGGTACATGTAGAGATACGTAGATACAATGGGTGGGCAGCGAAAGAGTACTGCACGATACCGTAAGTAAAGGCTAGCAATAAAACTTGATTTTACACAAACTCACCTGGCGGAACGGAGTACAAGGCTGAGAGAACTAAGACATTCTGCATGCAGCCGTATCCGTCACGCCAGGGGTGGGAGAATCGAACGTGAACACGCCACAGTAAAATAATCGAGAGAAAGAACATGAACAAGCGGGAGAAAGAGGAGTCGCCGAAGGCGTCGCCGAAGGCATTGCTGTCGAGCAATTAGGAAGTAAGTGCCGAGGGCAAGAAGAGACTCACCTGGTTTGTTTCGAGACCCGGGGGTAACAAAACAATCAATGCTTCTTTGAGACCCAGGGAATGCTGGGAGAAGCATTGTCAGGTGAGAAAGAGAGTAGTCGCGGGTGGAAAACTCACCTCGTATTAGTCTTGAGTAATTCAAGCATTAAACTCGACTAATCCGAAGGTTCATCCGACGAGGTAGCCAGTCGCCGACCCCCCGAAAATGGGAGGCCGCGTATGCGTATGATTGAGCATCCTAAATGGCTACTTGATGGAAGAAATGTTGAGATGAAGGGGTTGTGAGCGACAGATGGGATCAATTATCGTCGTGGCCGTGGAATAAGAGCGCTTGGAGTACGATGGGGTTCTTGCGAATATAGATTTGAAATGTGTCAGAGGCCCAGCGCCCCGCGGCCTGGATAAGGTGGGGCGGTGAGCCGTCTTCCGCCATCGCTGTAGCGCCGCCTGCGCGCATTGACTGACCCGCGAATTGGGTATCGGGTTCGAGTTGTCGAAGGCGGGCCATAAACCATGAGCGCGTCGGCACGGTGTTCTTCGACGTGATCCAGAGATATGGGTTCATCCGCGAGACGTTGTCACGGGAGGCCACGTATCGCTCGAAGACGGGCGCCGGTTTGAAGGTGCCGCGTCGAAGGATCCTGATTCGGTTCCCCTCGAAGAAACGGTCCCCTTTATGATAAGGCAGGTCGAGGCCGTAACCACCGTCGATTCCGATGACAGAAGAGCGCAGAGAGCACTTCCTGTAGTCCCGGATGTTGCGGTCATCTGGGACGGCTAATTCTCCCAGACGCATGAGGCCAGCGAAGCCAGTGCAGAGCATGGCCACGAATAGGATGTCATCATGCGTGGAGGATGGAGTTAGGGACGTGATGGCGGTGAGTACATGGTTGCGAGAGAGAGGGAGTTTCCGCTTCACCGGTTTGCTATGCAATTTCATGCAACCGGCGAGTGTTCGTTTAACGAGGTAGGAGGAGCGGTTGGCACGAACTTCTGGAAAATATGGTTCGAGTTTGTTGCTAATGCCAGAGAGGTAGGCACTAACGGAACGCGGCTCGATATGGGCCGACATGTAGACGACGAAGAAAGATAAGGTGTCGACGGTGGGAGTGACCGGCATCTTGTGTATCGAGCAGAAAGCGAGATAGGAATTCAAGGCAGAATCGTAGGTACCACTAGACGACGCGTCAATAGCGAGGCCTAGGGCTATTGCTCGTTCATGCACGAGCTTGTCGCGCGACCAAGGTTGTCGCTTGGGCTGCCTCGGTGCGCGAAGTTGGGGGATTTTCATTTTTTGACTGCCCCCAGCGTCGTTCGAGGGGGTGAAAATGGGGTGATGACCATGTTAGAGCTATGCGCGCGAACGAAGTCGAAATTCTCTCGCGAGAGGGCGTCGGCCATGGAGTTGTCTTCGCCGCTGATGTGCAGCACACGTAGGTCGATGTTGTGCTTGACCCGGAGGTCGACGGCAGCACGGAGAATAGGATTGTATTCAGGAAGAGCATGAAGGGAGTCGAAGATGCAAACTGTGTTCGAGTTGTCAGTGAAAACTGCAAGACGAACTGGGCACTCGGGGGTCGCGAGAAAGGTGAGGCCAGATTCGGCGTACCACTGTATAGCCCCAAGCACGCAGAGAGCTTCCCAGAAGAAAATCTTGTCCCTCATCACGTCTCCATCAACCGCACATGTAAACCCAACGTTAAGGTCCGGAATCCAGAAACCCATGCCCGTTAAGGACGCATCGCAGAAAATCGTGAGATTTGCCTCTGTGAACGGGTTCCAGTCAATGTTGGCGAAGAAGAGCATTCCTGATGATGCTTCGACGTGTTCAACAAACCAGAGAAGCTCCTCGATCAGTGGCTTGTTCAGATTGATCGTCGCATGGGCTCGGCTCTTGCCGGACATTTTGACGTAAAGATTGCAGAGAGCGGGCTTGAAGAGTGGATACACGTTCAGCGCCCAGTTCATCCATCCAGCGAGTTGCTCGAACTCGTGGAGTGATCGGCGCCGACGCGGTGTAAGGGCAAAGTCGCGGACGTGTTCAACGAGATCGGCCTTTGCCTCTGCAGGAAGTGTGGCTGTGAGTTTATTCGGGTCGACTAAGAAGCCTATAATTATCAGTACTTCTCCCCAAACTTGCTTCTTCAGCTTGTGGGGAATTCCTAAATAATCCCACAAGTAGAGTAAACGTGTCTGATTGGTAGGGAAAAATACATGATAAGGTTCATACCATTCCATATCTCCGACGATACCTACGCTGTAGCAATCATCAACGTAACAGCATAGAAAGGCCATGTGGAGGACACAGATTGCGATCCAGACAACTAGTCCCATCAAGGAAGCCCAGGCCCGCGGAGATCCACAACTGCCGAAGCATGCCCGCCAGTCAACGTAACGTATCCACGTTGACTTATCTTCTTTTGACCCACCTTCCATCATGGACGCGATATTGGCGGTGACGACCTGTTTAAGCTGCCACAACGGATGGATAGGGATCGCACGGAATGCTCCAGCGACGTCGGACTTCCACAGCAAGAAACATCAGGAAAAGGAGTATGGGGCTCAGGACAACTGTGGTATACTCTAGTTGACTATGGCTGCTCAGAAGAGAAGAAGTCATGCAAGCTAACAGGTAAACTCTGAGAAAGGTTCAGACCTGCAGCCAAACTCAGGTCAACTCCGAAGCACCTCCGACTGTCTTGAACTGACCTGACATCAGTCTTAAGCTTACTACAAGTGACTCAGTCAAACTCACTCTCAAGATCGAGCCAATTCGAATCAACTCTAATCCCACTCAAACCAACCAGCGGGGATCAAATCTGACTCGATTATTCACTCAATTATACATCCATATCTTGCAAATATCATTATTAAGTAACTGTCTAGTAATATTAAACACTAGCCGAAAAATACTCAATACTATAATAGAGCAATCATAATATTTGTATCCGCATTTTGCACGTACATGGGGTCCTTACTGTGCGCATTGCCATTATGTGGCACGGGATGTGTTCGTGATGGCAAATCCATCATGATAGTCAGTTTCATGGGCCTAGTCGGCATGCACCGTGCACCGTCGTCAGCACTGTCGAGGGTAGGAGTTTGTGATCATGCAGGTCCTCGCACAGCGAGGCCTGCACCTGGGTCCCTGTCGTCACCGTGCTTGGCGCGGCTGTCGCTGGGTCGCGGTCATTGTACTTGACGTTGTCGTCGTCGTGCTCGAAAATGTTGGTGTCGCGCGCAAGGTCGTCGTCGTGCTTGAAATCGTTGTCATTGTCAGTGAAACCGGCGTCATAATCGAGCTCACCACCATTGAGGTTACCAGCGTCATTGAGGTCGTCGTCGTCGTTCAGCTCGTTGGTGCCAGTTGCCGCTGTGCTTGAGGTCCTCCTATTAGCGTGCGCAGGCAGTTGGTCGTGTTGCGGGGGGTACGAGTCGCAGGCTGCAACGGAGGGTAAGCACAACATTTACATGCAGAGTTGAAAATCAGACGCCTGGATCGAGGAAAAGGCAGCGACGTGATGCTGACGTGGCCTCCGTGCCAACGGAATTTGGCACTAGGGAAGGGAACGGCAAACAATGGGAGAAGAAACAGGACGGCGAGGAAGGTAACGGGGGAATTGACGCTGGCTGAAGGGCGCATAAAAGTCTGGAACAAAATAATCGGTGTGTATCACACAGCGTCTTTGCCACCAAGATTGAAATGAATCAGAACTGACCCCAGTGAGAGTGCATTGCCGCAAAAATAAAAGAGCCCGTCGTTCCGAGCTGGCTGATGCGGGCGGGTGGACTCCGAGCTGGCTGATGCGGGCGGGTGGACTGCCAGTCCACCTGGGGGTATCGTGCGTCGAACTGGGAGGTTGCAGATGACTGCCAGTGGGGGTACTGCGGTGACAACGTTGACGGCTTACCGTCAAGGTGAACCTGCTTAAAGGAAATAGGACATCCTAGTTTCAAAGCCACTGCGTCGCTGGGGCTTGTAATCCGTCTAGACTGTCTGGTGCCGTCCGAGGGAAGGAGTTGTCATCGTTGCCGCAAAAATCAAGAAGGCCGTCGGTGAGAGCTTGCTAGTGCGTGTACGTAGTACTAGTAGGAAGATGATGAGTGAACCGTGATCGGGAAGAAAAGTCAACATACACGTGATGCCGACGTGGCAACAGGAGTCAGGACTTGCGGACTTGTGAGGAATGG